GAAGTGCGAATTCAATATGGATACTGTTGAGTATTTGGGTTACATTCTTTCTCCCGACGGATTGACTATGTCCAAGGAGAAAGTTCAGACCGTTCTAGAGTGGCCGGTTCCGAGGAAGGTTAAGGACATTCAGTCCTTCCTGGGTTTTGCAAACTTCTATCGTCGTTTTATTTATAATTATAGTGATATCGTTGTGCCGATGACTCGGCTTACCCGAAAAGGCGCTTCCTGGATCTGGGACAGCAGCTGTCAAGAGGCCTTCGAAAATCTCAAAATCGCTTTCACTTCTGCGCCGATACTGGCCCATTGGGAGCCGAATCGCCCACTTATCGTGGAGACCGACGCTTCCGATTATGCCATTGCGGCTATTCTTTCCATCCAATATGCTGACGGTGAAATTCATCCTTTAGCCTTCCTTTCCAGAACGCTTCATGCGGCGGAACTCAATTACGATACCCACGACAAAGAGCTACTGGCCATCTTCGAGGCTTTTAAAGCTTGGCGTCATTATCTGGAAGGTTCGGGTGATCCGGTGGACGTCGTCACCGATCACAAAAATCTTGAGTATTTCTCTACTACCAAGGTTCTCACCCGCCGACAGGTCCGATGGTCAGAATTTTTACATCAATTTAATATGGTCATTCGCTTCCGACCGGGGAAACTCGGCGAGAAACCTGATTCAATAACTAGACGCTGGGACGTCTACCCTAAAGAGGGGGATATCGGCTACGCCCAAGTGAACCCTCATAACTTTCGCCCTATCTTTACTAACGAACAACTCACTGCGTCCCTTCGAGCTACCTTCCTGGAAGGCCCGGTTTTACGAGCCTCGATTATCATGGATATCGAAGCCCTACACCAAGCTATCATTCTCGCCCTTCCCGCCGACCCGAACTCCGTTGCTGGTTTGGAACTTGCAAAAGATCCTTCCAATGAACGTTGGAGCTTAGGTAGCGACAAGCTACTACGCCTTGACGACCGTATTTATGTCCCTAATCACGGCGATCTTCGCCTTCAAGTCCTTCGCTATTTCCATGATCATCCACTCTCCGGCCATTTCGGCCAGAACCGCACTCTCGAAGCTGTACGTCGTCAATACACCTGGCCCAAGGTCAGAGACTTTGTTCGTGACTACGTTACCTCTTGCACTATCTGTGGTCGCAATAAGCCCCGCCGTCATCGGCCTTACGGCTTGTTGAAACCTCTGCCGGTTCCGGTCCGACCATGGGATTCCATCTCCATGGACTTCATTGAACAACTGCCAATGTCGAATGGTTATACAGCTATCCTAGTCGTCGTGGATCGATCTTCCAAACAAGCTATATTTATTCCAACTCACGACACCATTACTTCCGAACAATTAGCTGAGCTTTTTGTTATTCACGTCTTCTCTAAGCATGGTGTTCCTAATCATGTTACTTCCGATCGTGGTTCCGAATTTGTTTCGGCGTTCTTCCGGGCTCTCGGTAAAGCGCTCTCCATGGAACTTCACTATACCTCTGGATATCATCCGGAAGCCGACGGGCAAACTGAGCGTGTCAATCAGACTCTCGAGCAGTACATCAGGATCTACTGTTCCTACCAACAAGATGACTGGTCACCTTTACTTCCGATCGCCGAGTTCGCCTATAATAACGCTCCCAACGCTTCCACAGGTATTACTCCATTCTTCGCTAACAAAGGATACCACCCAAATATCACCGTTCGGCCCGAGGTCGACATGAAGTCTGACCTAGCCAGAGACTTCGTCGTCAACCTCGATGAACTCCACGTCTTCCTTCGAGAGGAAATCCTTTTAGCTCAGTCTCGTTACAAGGAACAAGCTGACAGGAAAAGAATCTCGCACCCGGAGTTTCCGATCGGCTCCGAAGTATTCGTTCTTGCTAAGCACATTCGTTCTACTCGTCCTACTGAAAAATTCTCAGAAAAATATCTTGGTCCTTTCAAGGTCATCAGTCGACCTGGTACTCTGTCTTACGAGCTCAAACTCCCAGACTATCTTCGCCGCATTCACCCGGTTTTCCACGTCTCACAGCTGGAGCCGGTTACGCCGAATCCGTTCCCGAATCGTACTCAATCTCCTCCACCTCCAATCGAAGTTGATGGTGAAGAGGAGTACAACGTTGCCGAAATCCTCGACTCCAAGTTGGACAGAAGGTACAAACGTTGTCCTCTACGTTATTACATTCGGTGGGCCGGTTATGAAGGTACCGACGATGAGTTCTCCTGGGTTGCCGCTGATGAATTACATGCGGACGAACTGGTACCCGCATTCCACGCTCGATACCCTTTGAAACCTGGACCTTGATCACAAAAAAATCATTTTATTCCTTTCCCCGTTTCCGCCGCGCTCCGCCGAAGTTTACTTCGTGTGTTTAGAGGGTAAACACAATGATAGTAAATTGAGTGTTTATCTCTCTCTCTTATTTGCTTATTATGGTTTCTTTAATCACAGTTTTCACTTAGTTTCCATTTACACTTACACTACTTATACTAAACTAATTTATTTCTTACGCCGCCTCGCGGCCCATTCGCCTTCCGACTTCAAAATTGCGTTGAACAGTTATTTATATACAAAAGTCCAAAAAACAAAACAAGATTATACAGGAGGCAGAGGACTACAAGAAGTTACAAGAAGGGCCGCAGGGCCGATGTCCGATGTCCGTGACTCTACTACTCTACTAACTCCTTCTCTTTTCCTTTGTCAGAGGTCACCGTCTTCGCCGTCGTCGGCGCCGGTGCCTCCCCCTCTCCTCCTTCCTCTACCTCCATCTCTTCTTTTTCCTCCTCCTCTTCTTCGTCACTCTCCCTCACAACCCTCCGCCGCTTCAGCGGACGCCGCCGCTCGGTAGTTTCCCTCGACGGTCCAGCCGTCGCCGATCCTCCTCCCATTCCCATCATTGCCATTCTCGTCTCCATGGCTATCAGGCGGGCATGGTCGTCTTCTTGCCTCCTCAACAGTTGGCGGAGGTATTGGTGGGTTTTCGAGTCCGCCTCTCGTAGCGCCCGGCTGTCCGCCAGACTCTGAGCCATTTGGCTCTCCAAGACGGCAATTCGTTCGCCGGAACCGCCTTCCCGTTGTTTCGAGGTTGTGGGGCGCCCCGAGTAGGAACACCTCACCTTGGCATCGTGACAGGGCTTACAAATAATCGAACTCCTCTTGCCTGCCTGCATTTGGCAAGGGAGTTTTTTGGTCTTGCACCGTTCGCAAGGTGCGCGGTCTTCGTCGTCGTCGTCGTCGTCCCCGTCATCGCCGTCGTCGGGATCTCCGCCCACCGGCTAGAAACAAAAGCGTTAGTAAGGGGAGTGGAACCACAAAACCTTGACTCACCTGGGCATTTGCCTTCCCTTTTCCTTTCGCCGCTCGCCGAAGTTCCACCGTAGGCCTCCTTGGGGAAGCAGACACTTCACTTGGAGAAGTCTCCCTCTGACTTCTGGCGGTCGCCGCCTCGGCCAACAGCCTCCTCCGTTCCAAAACCTCTTCTTCTTGCTGACGAGCCCGAATGGCCCGCTCTCGCGCCTCCTGCGCCGCTCGCTCTCGGACTGCTGCCGCCCTTGCAGCCTTTTCCTCCGCGGCCTTCTTCGCCGCTGCCGCCGCCTTCCTCGCCCTTACTCTTTCTACCCTTTCCTGCGCCTTGCGGATTATGTCGTCCTCGTCCTCTTCCTCCAAACCTTCCTCGTCATGGGCGGTAAGGTCGATGGGTGGCGGTGGGGCGGGTCGTGACCTCGAAGGGCCGGCGGTAGTAGAGACGGTAGTGGTGGTAGTGCGACTAGTCATTGTTCGAACTTAGAAGTTTTGGGAACTTGGGTCTTATCGGCGAAACTATGGGCCTTTTATATGGCAAAATTGCGCACGGACCAGCGAAAATTTTCCTTCAAATTGTACTTGGTGTACGGTGTACCGAAAATTTTCACGGATGACTAACGCCAATTCCCGGTACTAACGGCGTTTGAAAATTTTCCTGCTGACTGATAGGCCAAATTCCCGATGCTGACGGCCATTAAAATTTTTCTTTGGTGACTAACCAACTCCCGGTATTAATGGCTTTCGAGGGCTCAAGCCTAAGAGGGGAATACTGTCAAGTCCATGCCGCGGGCCTCCATTCCGCCGCTCGGTACTCCGAAGATCTGCTCTTTATTGTAATCTCTCTCCTATTGTTCTTTCTCGCTACACATATCCTTTCGTTCTAGTCTCTCATTATTGTCTTTTACTCTTTCGTTCTAGTCTCTCCTTATTGTCTTTTACTCTACCCTGCAGGTACTACTCGTATAGCTCCTAGTAGTTAGTCTAGCGCTCCGCACCGATGCGCCGTTCCGTAGATATAAATACTGCCTGTACGCTACTGTAGTTCCTCAGTTTAATTATCAACTTAGATCGACTTGGATTCCCTCCTTTACTCTGTGCTCCTCTAAGTCTTCAGGCTCACTGCCTTGAAGTACTCTCTACCCTACCTTAGGACTTATACATCCTCTGGTTCGCTCCTCGTCACCGGCGATACCGCCGCTCCGGCCTGGCTGCTACTTAGCTCCTCTCTCTCTACTCTCGCTCTCCGGGGACTAACGGCGTAACGGCGGTGTTGTTAATAACTTCACTACTGTCCCATTCGTCTTCCGCACTTAGGCACCTTGTAGCTTTGGCACGGTTACACGGTGTACATGATCTTAACATATGGCGGGTACTGGGACTGGTCTGGTTGTAGCCAGGGCATGACATTACCCCCCCTTGTAACCCCTTTGCGCCCTCGCAATGGGTAGACGCGTTTTTCTGGGCAGTCACCTGACATTCACATGGTACCTGAAAATTTTCTTGTTGAAGTCCGTCAGATACTTGCTTTTCCCTCTCTTCCACCACCTCAGTTTTACGAGTCAAAACTCCTCTAACTGCGATGTCTCCTCCACCTGCTTGACCTCTTTCACGCACACCGTCTCCTCTGTTACCCACCCTGACCGCTTTGGGAGAGGTACCTTCCCCGGCTCCTGAATCCGATGGGGAGGTGGAAATGGATCAACTGGCCTTCACCATCGAGTCGCTGTCTCGCCCCCAACTCCAGTTGTTTGAGACAGTTTTTAATACTGGCAAGCCACTATCGGGTTATTGTCAGGACGACCCTTTGTGGCCTCTTCTGGCGGAGGTAGCTTCCCCTTGTTCCAACTGTGTAAAGTCCCCAGGCAAATGTAAGGTTCTGCTGAACTCCCCTTGCTGTACCAACTGCTCTGCAAAAAAGACTTGTAGTCTGGGGAAGGTCCTTCGGTATCGGTATTTCACTCATCATTGCAGTCAAGACATTGCATACAGCCGTAGGTTTTTGGAGCTCCATGGAACTCCTATACATCAATCGACATGGGGTATTCCTTTGAGCACCTGGCATCAATACGATGCTGCCCTTCAAGCTCGTACCTCCTCGACCTCCACCCTCCTAGAACTGAACATGCTTGATAAGCAGGATACTGCTGAGACTGATCAGCAAGAGTTCCAGAAGTTCCTCGCTTTGCAACAGGGTGAGGCAGTCGTCGCGGCGAAATGTAAGCGCAATCGTTCCCCTTTGCCTGTGGCTGGTCCTTCCAGCAAAAAGGTTCGGTTGGATGGTTCCAAAAAGTGTTCCCGTCGTAGGACCCCTGTGGAGGGGGCAGCTCAGGAGTCTCCCCGTCATATCCGACTGGTGGTTCCTCCAGGTCATTCAATGGCAGCCTCCACTTCCACTCCTGCTCTCCCTCGCGCCCCTCCCTCCTCCATGGAGGTATCTGTCAGGGATGAACCCGTGCAGGGTCCCAGTGGTTTGGTTCAGTTGGCAGCTGCTGCCGAGGTCCAGTCTGGTGTGGTTCAGCGGCTTGTTTCCCCTTCCCCTGTTATGTCACCTATAAAGGGTATTGGGTCCGACCCCCTTCCTTCCAACATGCCACCCACTTCACGTTCGTTATTAGTACCCCGCACTCTCATCGCCCATCCCTATCGCGCTGAGAATCAGCATCTCCTTGCTTGGGTCCGATCACTAGAGTCCCAGCTTGCCGATTCTCAGCAGGAGAATTCTTCTCTCACCACTGCCCTTCAGGATACTTCCCATGCCCTCGATGCTCGTCAATGGGAGGTCGAACAACTTCGGTCCTCCAGCCACGAGGTCCTTCAGCACAAGGTCGAGTATCGCAGTGTGTTGGACCAGTTCCATGCACTGGACAGGGCTTTATCGGTGTTTCCTGGTCAGGTAAGTCATGATTTAACTGGTATTCACTTCCCTTTTAATTTGACTTCCCCCCTTGTAGACTGTTGTTCAGCGTCTCCAAGCATTGGAGGAGGAGCTTCGCGTTGTAAAAAGGGATCGCGACATTGCGGTGATATGCTGACTCTGGGCTATGCATAAAATGCTAGTGCAAGTTCTAACACTCACACCAACACCAACACAAACCATCATCAAACACTAAGTTCAAGGGGTTTATCATTGAAAAAGCAAGATCACACTGCAACTCTACAAATATCTTCATCATGTGGGTATAATGTATAGGTTGAATAGTTTTTCTTCTCGAGATTCTATCAAACTCGGGCATGCTAAATCTTTCTTTGACTTTATCTGAACTGAACAAAACCTCTGATTTGTATTATACACTACAAGTACAATCCACAGAAAGAGTGTGCACTACTCACAGCACTCTGACTGCTATTAACTCTGAAGCATAATGGTAATCTGTGACTTTGAACTTTCTTTCTTTCTATCTTTCTTAAACTCTAACTTGTTTAAAGTGAAAGTTAACACTGTATCATCTTTGTTTAAAGTGCACTTGTCACTATAGCCAGAAGCTACTAACCAACCAACCAAATCCTCTCAGAAGTGGGGGGGAAAGTGCTTGTTCCCATTTAGAGGCCAGTACCCTCCTTATATATCCTCAAAATAACCCTTAACAACTGATATCAATCATTGTAGCATGTGGAATTCTTGTAGCATGTGCTGATTTTGATGGAAATCATGCTGCATCTCGGAGTAGCATGTGGACCTGTTGTACCATGTGCTACCTTTGATGGAAATCATGCTGTACATCGGAAGGCTTTCCGGATGAGGGACATATGCTAAATCAATTCTGATATTCTCGGAATTAAGTCCAGAGGTCCGGAGTATTGTTATCTTTCAATCTAATCATTCAGCCCTATTGCGATGCTATACAAAGGTGAAGCTCGGAACACTTTAACTCTGCAGATATTGTCATAGTCCAAGTCAAACACAAGTGTGGGTTTTAGTATTAGAGCTTTATTACTTGGAAATACAACTGTATTATGCTATGAAGACCCACTTGAGTGTCATTCAGATGCAATCACTGTGTAGTTCTGTGTGTTTTCTCTGAATACAATGTACTGTTCAGTCTCAGCATCACTGATAGTACTTTACAGTTGAAAATGCATAATTACTGCATTATAGACTCAGATAAAAATGGGTCATATCAGCGGTGGAGGAGCTTTCCACTACTTCCCGTAAGGCTTCTGAGTTAAAGACAGCCCTACTGCAGCAACAGGGTCTGGTAGACGAAACCAATGCTTTGGCGACCCATCAGCGTCGTCGTTTGGAGGAGTTCCGGGAGGAGGCCCATCATACTCGAGATCGTGCCACCTTCGTGGAGCAGATGATCAAGGAGTATCCGGACGAGGGTTTCTACGAGGTGGTTCTACCTCCCCTTTCTCAACTGGAGGAGGACCTTCTCCGTGTCGCCACCTTTGCACACTGCCTTTATCGTTCCAATCCCACCACTGTCCTCCATCATCACAGTCGTTATATCGGTGCCATCATTGAGGCAGTCATTGCCTTTCTCCGACGTGGTCTGGACTCTGACGTCCCTGACGTCATTGCCCACAACTTCCAACTTGCTCTGGATTACATGCAAACAGCCCGGGGTATTCACGGGGATCTTTATATGTGGTCCATCAGCAGCATTCAGTGGTTTTTCAACAACGCGGTGGATGAGGACGAGGGTCTCCATCGCCTGGTGTTAGAGCATTCCCGGTTTGACAACGATGGTCCTTTTCTGACCGCGGCTCAGCATGCCGGTTCCGCAGCCCCTCCCGAGGGTTCAATGGAGCCACCCCTCCATCGTCGGATGTTGGTGCTATCGACCGCCTTTCCTCATCAAGATGGTTCTGAAAGGTGGGACAATGTTGTCCCCGCCATCCCTAGTCTTGACCAGTCAATGGTCGTATGGGAGCAGTTAATGCTGGAGTACCTTCACCACATAACTGATACCCCAATGTCCGTTCCAGTGCCATCGGACGAGCCTCCCTCTGCTGTAGGTGAAGGTGTTTCTTCTCTCCCTGCTTCCTCTCATGTTCCTCTGTTCCTCCCTGAACAGGACTCTCCGACCTCCCCTTCTCCCCCTCCTCCTTCTCCCAGTCTTCCTCTGCTCTTTGGTTCAGTAGCAGATCTAGCCATTGATCTTACTGGGGGTGACGACGAATTGTACGAGCCGGAGGAATCACATCGTGCTCGGGTCTCTGAGGTGGATGGGATGGATGCTGTCCCAAAGGAGGAATTGTTGTAGTACTTCATTGTCATTTCTTGTAATAGATCCTTGTCGCTAAATCATAGAAAATTGAAATGTCTTTTTTGTCTTTTTTTTTAAAGTGAGATCATAGTGAGTCCGAAAATATGTTCTGTCATTAGTTTGTCGTTAGTATCATGGGGTTTTGGTTGTCCCCCTCCCCTCCTGTCTCTCTCTTTAGTCCCCGTACCCCCTTTTGCCCTCTAACGGGTCCTCCTCATCTTCTCGTGCTTCCCTTTCCAGAGAGTCCCAGTGTGCCTGCAATGGCCAGCATTTCCTTGAATGCTTATTGTGCCAGCTCCGCAGCGGTGCAGTGGAACCCGCCATACCTTCCCATCCTACCCAGGAGTTGAATTCGTCGCCGTACCCCTCCCATTTAACCAGGTATTCTATCTCTCTTGGTCGTCCCTTTATTGGTTTTGAATCTAGGATGCTTTCGACGAAGTGTTCCGTCTTCCCTTTTATAAAGACTGGGGGAGGTGGAGAGTTCCGTCGTTTGAACTTATCGTGGAAGTGAGGTTTCAACCTGTCTACATGGAACACATTATGAATCTTGTGGAGGTCCCCAGGGAGGTCCAATCGGTAAGCATGACTCCCTACTTTTGACAAGATTGAGTAGGGGCCTGTCCACTTGTGATCTAGTTTCTTCATAGGTCGCCTAGTCCTGACATTTTCCATATTCAACCAGACGTGATCCCCCTCCTTCCAGTCCGGGGCCTCCTGGCGTTTTTGGTTCGCGTACTTCATATAGGCCTCATTAGCTACCCGGATTCGTTCCTGGAGGTACGCATGTAGTTCCTTGAGGTTGGATGCGTATTTGTTGACCTCCACTCCTTTTACTTGCTCCAGCGTAATAGACAGCTTTGGATGATATCCCTTGTTGGCGAAGAACGGTGAGACACCCGTTGTCGTGTTTGGGGTGTTGTTGTATACAAATTCAGCCATCGGTAGGAGGAGGTCATAGGAGCAATAGATCCGAAGGTATGCCTGCACAGAGTGGTTTACTCGTTCCGTTTGTCCATCTGTCTGGGGATGATATGCAGTAGACAGGCGGGATTCGATCCCTAGTGCCCTACAAAGCTCCCTCCAGAATTGAGACATGAATAGGGAGCCCCGATCTGAAGTTATGTCGGAGGGCATCCCATGCTTTGAGAAGACATGTGTTATGAATAGATTGGCAAAGTCCTCCGCACTATCCGTCGTATGACAAGGAATGTATATGGCCTGTTTGGTGAGTCGGCAGACTACTACGAGAATGGCGTCGTATTTCTCTGGACCTGCCGTGACTGGAAGCTGGGTGATGTGGTCTAGGGAGATTGAGGACCAAGGTTGTTGACCAATTGGTAGTGGACAGAGGTTCCGATAAGGTTTGGAGCAACTGGCTTTGGCTCTCAGACACAAGTGGCAGCTCCGTACATAGTAGTTCACGTCTTTGGACAGCCCTTTCCAGAAAAACAGCTGGTTTATGAGCTTCTTGGTGCGTTTCTCCCCCAGGTGTCCCCTCAGTTTATGGTCATGGTACGACTGTAGGACCTCCCTTCGTAGGGTTCCAACATCTGGGACGTATATACGACCTCCCCTCTTTATCAACCCATCCTCCCAAACGAGAGATTCCTCCTCGTTGCGTGCAATCCTCTTCAGTGCTTTGATCATAGTCGTATCCTTGGGAGCTTCCCTTACTCAATTCACTAGGAGGTCCTTGTTCATGAGGATGGTAGCATTCAGACATTCTGGAGGTATGAGTACCCTTTCCCTCCCTGCTAAGACCTGGTCTCTTGAAGCTCCCTTCTTTGGATACATGTCTGATCTCTGGGTGAGCGCGTTCGGCTTGGCTCCCAACATCCCTGGTCGATAGTTGATGACAAAATTGTATCCTGAGAGAAGCTCAGCCCACCGGGCTTGTCGTGCTGTCAGCTGCTTCGTAGTGGTGAAGTACTGGAGGTTGTCATGATCTGAGTATACCTGGATCTGGTGTCGGGATCCTTCGCAGTACGCCCTCCATTGTTTGAAACAATCCACAATAGCTAGGAGCTCCTTATCGTAGATATTGTAGTTCAGTTCCGCGGAGATCATTGACCGCGCATGGAAGGCAATGGGGTGTATCTCCCCTGTTTCAGGATCCAGCTGTGATAGGATCCCTGCTATAGCCAAGTCGGAAGCATCGCATTCGAGGATCACCAGTAGGTCCGGGTTGTAATGTCCCAAAACTGGGGCTTCGGAGAAGGCTGACTTCAGAAGCTCGAAGGCACTGCTGCACTGTGGCGGCCAGTTCCACACTGAGTCTTTTCGGAGGAGCTTCGTGAACACCTTGGTGATTCCCGAGTAGTTGTCTATGAACCTCCTATAGAAGTTTGCGAATCCGAGGAATGCCTGGAGCTCCTTAACCGTCCTTGGTTTTGGCCAGTCCATTACCGCCTTCACTTTCTCTGGGTCCATGGATACCCCCAGTGGTGATATAATCACCCCCAAGTATTCGACAGTGTCGACATGGAACGCACATTTTTCCGGCTTTGCATGGAGGTGGTTCGCTCGTAGTCATTCGAGGAACTTCCTGACGTGTTCCACATGGGATACTTCATCATTGGAATAGATCAGTATGTCGTCCAAGTAGATCACCACGCAAACATCTACCATGTCGTGAAAGATCTTGTTCATGAAGAATTGAAATGCCGAGGGAGCATTTGTGAGCCCAAACGGCATTACCAGGTACTCGAATGACCCATACCGAGTTCAGAAGGCAGTCTTCCACTCGTGTCCCTGGGCTACCCTGACATTGTTGTATCCTGCGCGGAGGTCAATCTTTGTGAAGATCTTTGCCTTCCGCAGTTGATCCACTAAGGTGCCTATCAGTGGTAGAGGATACCTATTCTTCTTCGTGATCTTGTTCAGGGCTCGATAGTCGACACAAAGCCGTTGATATGACCCGTTTTTATTTGAGTCTATAATGCAGTAATTATGCATTTTCAACTGTAAAGTACTATCAGTGATACTGAGATTGGACAGTACATTGTATTCAGAGAAATTACACAGATCTACACAGTGATTGCATCTGAATGACACTTAAGTGGGTCTTCATAGCATAATACAGTTGTATTTCCAAGTAACAAAGCTCTAATACTAAAACCCACACTTGTGTTTGACTTGGACTATGACAATATCTGCAGAATTAAAGTGTTCCGAGCTTCACCTTTGTATAGCATTTCAATAGAGCTGAATGATAAGATTGAAAGATAACAATATTCCGGACCTCTGGAGTTAATTCCGAGAATATCAGGATTGATTTAGCATATGTCCCTCATCCGGAAAGCCTTCCGATGTACAGCATGATTTCCATCAAAGGTAGCACATGGTACAACAGGTCCACATGCTACTCCGAGATGCAGCATGATTTCCATCAAAATCAGCACATGCTACAATGATTGATATCAGTTGTCAAGGGTTGTTTTGAGGATATATAAGGAGGGTGCTGGCCTCTAAATGAGAACAAGCACTTTCCCCCCCACTTCTGAGAGGATTTGGTTGGTTGGTTAGTAGCTTCTGGCTATAGTGACAAGTGCACTTTAAACAAAGATGATACAGTGTTAACTTTCACTTTAAACAAGTTAGAGTTTAAGAAAGATAGAAAGAAAGCAAGTTCAAAGTCACAGATTACCATTATGCTTCAGAGTTAATAGCAGTCAGAGTGCTGTGAGTAGTGCACACTCTTTCTGTGGATTGTACTTGTAGTGTATAATACAAATCAGAGGTTTTGTTCAGTTCAGATAAAGTCAAAGAAAGATTTAGCATGCCCGAGTTTGATAGAATCTCGAGAAGAAAAACTATTCAACCTATACATTATACCCACATGATGTAGATATTTGTAGAGTTGCAGTGTTATCTTGCTTTTTCAATGATAAACCCCCTTGAACTTAGTGTTTGATGATGGTTTGTGTTGGTGCTGGTGTGAGTGTTAAAGCTTGCATTAGCATTTTATGCATAGCCCAGAGTCAGCATATCATATGCGGTGGGCTCCATATGATATGGGTTTCCCTTGTATGGTGGGATCCGATTTTCGTTCCACCACATGGGTACCCACTAAGAGCTGCTTTCTTTGGAACTTGTTACGTCTTATTGAACCCTTGGAAGTCAGACCAGACCTTGAAGGAATCTTGGGTATGTTCAGGCTTTCAATGTCTAAGGTGGGGAGGTCGGGATAAGGTCCGTGTTCCCTCCTTTTCTTCCTCCACCGGACTTTTTGCTTAGCTCCAGGCCAGGAGGAGGATCGTTCCGTGTCCCTACTCTTCCACTTTTGATAGGCCTCCTCTGAATCCTTTGCTGGTTGCGGGGTTACTTTATCCATGGCAGATCGTCCAGCCTCGAAGATTTCCTCCACCTCTTGTTCCGTGCTTTCGCATGTGAATGCTAGCCATTTGTTGATCCCCATAAGGATTGGGTCGTCTGGTCCTAGATCTTTTTCTGAGGGGAATAACTCGTGTGGACCTGGTTGTCTCGCCTCATACTCCTTGTCCTTTACTTCCTCTAGTTTCACCCTTGTCCTTGGAGCTTTAAGGGAAGCTTCTGGAGGTTGTTGCGGAGCTTCAGGAGGTGGTTGGAGAGTTCCTTCATGTATTTCCTCGCCATTTACCCCCCTTCCTAGTTCCTTGGTACCTCCCTCGGCGCCTGGTTGGACAATTTCTGATGCAAGGGCTGCTGAGATTCGGACGTTTCGGTCCTGGAACATCAGGCAAAGTTCCTTCCACTCAATTACTGGGTTGTGCAGGCGTAGCGATGACAGTCCTAGCACAATTGGAGCCGTGGGGTGTAATTGAGTTACTAGGAACTCCACCTTGTGAATTGTTCCATCCACAAAACTGATCTGGTCAGTGTAGGTCTGAGTTATCAATCCTGCGGAGGTAGGTTGCCTGTCGAAGAGCTCCAAAGGGATGCTGTTTGTTGGGTCAACCAAATTTTCGGGATGTCGCATAGCGACGGTTTTGTCTATGACGCATCTAGTTGCTCCA